CCCACACCCTCCCCTCACCTCCTCGGTCCCGGGGCCGCCGCGCCGCACTCCTCCTCCTCTCTCCTCCCTCGCGGATGGTGGCAGTGGCGGCAGCGGCGACTCAGACCCTGGGGTCAGGGGGACGGGCGCCCAGGCCGGAAGTGACCTTCCTGGCCGCTTCCGCCCGCGCCGTTCCCCCCTCCCTTTTCCACCCCCCCCTCCGGCCGCCACCCCGTCCTCGCCGCTCTAGGAAGGCGAGCCCGCGACCCCCTAGCCGCCGCCCCCCCAGCTCTGTGGTGCGGAGCCGGCGCTCAGAGAGCCACTTCCGGGCGCGTCTAGGATGCGGGTCCTCCGTCCGCGCTCTATGGCTCCGCGCGCCGAGGGGCTGCGGCCCCGCCCCCTCCCAGCACCGGAGGCGCGGGCTCGGCCCGTTAGGCGGAGACTTCCGGTGTCTGGGAAGGTGCCCCCGCCCCCGGTACTGGCCCTCGCGCCTGCGCAGTCTGCTCCCCGGCCGGGAGGTATGAAAAGGTTGGCGAGGGCCGCTCGTGCCACCCCGGGTCCTCCAGTCGTCTCTATTATCGTAACCCTTTCCCTGCCGTCGCTCCTCGCAGCGACCTGCGGCCGCGTGCTGGAGAGGTCTGTCATCTGCGACCCTGGTCCTTTCGTTACTGGACAGAGCGTGCTGGCGTTAGACGCCCATGTCCATGTCTCTCAGCCTGTTTTCCCCCTTCTGGAATAATAACAGTGTATGCCTCTGAGGGCTTTACATGCATGAGGTCCTATTAATAACCTATAATCTAGTCCCATTCTGCAGATAAGGAGGGACAGCGGTTAAGGTACTTGCAGAATGTCACACGCCGAGTATGCAAAGCCTGAGCTCAAACCCGTCTGGCTCCCAGTTTTAACCTCAGCTAAACCCCTAGAGTAGAGTATTCATCACAGCAGCTGAAGATTCACCCGCCTCTCTCAGGCGAGGCAGACGTTTTAGTAAGCACTGGCTGAATGTCAGCTGGTCTTGTTAGTATTCTTATGTAAAATATATTTTTAAATTATTGTTTACACCATAGTGTTCTTGCAGGCTGGTCCCTGTAGTCCCTTCCATGTTCTGTACTTAGCTGGCTCTCACCTAAGAGCCTGATGATTTGTCGTTATTATTTATAACAAGTTTATTGTCATTTTAACAGTCACCACGCTTGGGAGTGGGAAAGGGGATGTACAATTCACTTGCTGAATAACACATTTCATAGCCTCGTTTTAGCGAGATAATCAATGTAAATTTGCTTAATTCCATTTCTGGCTCATATTAAGCTCTCAGTGAAAATGATAGTGATTAGTATTAGTTAGTAGTAGTAGTATTTCTACTACTGGGGCTGCTGTATACCCTAAATTCTCATTCACCATCACTTATAAGATGTGTACTGTTGATTTAATAACACTTTTCAGGAGAGAAAAAAACAGGACTGTATTAAATGTACATGTAAATAGCAAGATATGTCTATCACAAAGGTAAATGTTTCAATATACCTTAGAACAAGAGGGAAAGTGCTATGACAATATATAAGCACAAATTGTTATGGGTGTGAAGTTTACACCATGAAACCTGTGTATATGAAACGTCATACATCTGTGCTCCTCCGAATCAGATCATTACGTCTGCAGTGGTCTGGTAATGGAAGGGAACAGCTTCGTCTCTCTCCTCCCAGTGCCCCCTCTCAGCTGGCCAAATTGAGAACATAAATGTGAGATCTGGAGCACCTATGTTGGAACACTAGATGGAAGCCATATAGTGAAGACAGTAAATCAACAAGCTAAAAGGAGCAAGACAGACACGATGGCTTCTGTGCCAGCTGAGATACTACTTGAGAAATGATTTTCTGATTTAAACCATGGGTCATCAGAGTCTCTCGTCAGCCAAACCAGTGTTGGGCAGACATAGGATGGGGTTGCAGTAGAAATGGCTAATTCACCACCAAAACCTGTTCTCCCAAGGGATGGAATTACTTCTGGAACGCTGTCCCCAACCAGGGACTTCATTGACCAGTCCTCTTGGCATGTGAGTGTGGCCTTGTGATTGGTTCTCACTAACTATGAACCAGGTAGAAGGCCCCCAACAGAAGGTGACTATGCTGGCACCTTGATCTTGGACTTCCAGCCTCCAGAACTGTGAACAATAAATCTGTTGTTTATAGTTCACCCAGTCGGTGGTATTTTGTTATAGCAGCCCAAATGGACTAAGACATTTGGGTTTCTTTGTTCTGGAAGATTCCTCTATGCTAACTAATATAGGATTTTCAGCTGCTAGGCAGTGAAAATGATGACAAGACTCCCTTTTGGAGATTCATCAGCATGTAGACATAATTGAAAGCCATGGGACTCAATAAGATCACGGGAGGAAGAGAGAGAGTAGCAGGTCTATCTGTGGTCATCTAGCCCAAGTGGGGCCAATCAGTGGCCTTACCTGGGATTTTTCTCTCTGGAATTGACAAAACAGAGTCACCTTTCTGGGATTCAAGACTCAGGAGCAATGGCAGCCTGTTTCTTACCATGTGGAGGAAGCCAGTTTGTAGGAGAAAATGAAGCTACACAGAGCAGTGAAAGACAGAGAGAGAGAGAATGACATAAATTCTGGTGCCCCAACACACCTAACCCTCCTGAAGTTGGATGTCCAGCTCTTCTTTTAAGTGAGTCTCTCCAGACTCCTTCCAGAACATCCCAATTTGGGCCTCAGTGAATTCCACTCAGGTTTCAGTCACTTGTAACCAAAAGAACCCTGAATCTCCCACAGCACATTGTGCACCACAAGCCTCGTTTGGTGTTGAAATGAGGTAATGAAGACAGGTTGGATGAGGCGATATGTAAGCCTCCAGTGCGGCTGCACTCACAGAAATCCCGGCTGCAGGGACCCAAGGAGCAGCTCTCACTCTACAGCCCTTCCAAACTTCCTCATAAGTTTTTCCTATGACATCTCCTCCATTGAGTGATGGGAACAGCTGTAGTGGGCAGATTGGAGATGCAGAGTTTGCAGCTGTTGATATACAATTGCTGAGAAGCCCCCTGAGACAGACAGACAGGCGTGCGCGCGCACACACACAAACACCCCCCACACACACACAATCACACTTTTCACATTATCTTTATCATAATAGTGACCAAACATCTCAAGAGTTTTCATCAACGCACAGTGCTGAGTGCTTTACTTCAATTACCATCCTTACTACCCATTCTACCCCCATGGGGCACTATGGACCCTTCCTCCAACATGCAGCATCTACGCCCCTGGGAACCTGCAAGAAATACAGTCCCAGGCCCCTCTCCCACCTACCAAGTCATAATCTGCATTTTCACCCAACTCTCAAGTGGTTCCCACCTACCAGATGGTGCCCGATAAGCTCCAGGACACCCAGCAAACTTTGAATTTCAGACAAAAGAAATTTTTTTAGTATGAAAACATTCCGAAAGATGCATATCCAAAAGAACTATTTTTTGTTTCTTTGAAAAACCGGTGGAACTGTGCATCCTGTGTTTTTATTTGCTCAATCTGGCAACTCCTGGTAGCAGACACTATGGGTGCTTCTGTAACCCCATCCACCCTCTTCTCTGCACTGATTTCCCCAGATTTCCATGCCTCCTCCATGCTTTGGGGAAGCTCCTTACTAATGAAGACACCTAAGACTTTCACATGTCCAAAGCATCTTCACACTCACAACGTTGCTTGAAGGAGGCATAGGAGACTTTTGTTCAAGTTTCAGAGAAAAAAGCTGAGACCCAGAGAGGTTGAATAATATGTTTAAGGCCACACAGCAAGTGACGGGGCGGGGATATGAACACAGCCTCAGAAAGAGTTTTCTAACACCCCATTATGACTGTTTCTCTCCCGTCCAAAACCCTCCTATCAAGGAGGGAGGCAGAGCTGCTCAGCCCAGCCTCCGAGACCCTTCATCTGACCTACTGTTCCAGACTCGTCATCTCTGAGTGCCCCACTGCTGACTGCCAAGGTAACACTAGACTATGGCCATAGGGAACCACTGGAAAGTTTCTCAGATGTGCTGCCATCTCTCCACTTCTAGGTGTTTGTGCCAGCTGTCCCCTCTACCTGCCACCCCTGTTATAATGATGGCCCCTCTTGTCCTGAACCCACAGCGAGCAAGGGCAGCACTGAGACTCAAACCCACGTCTATCTGACTCTAAAGCTCTTGTCTCTGTTTGGGACTTCCTTGAAAGCCCCCCTCACACACATACGCCAGTGCAAGCCCCGGGTCTTACCCATGCTTCCTGCCAATCTGCTATAGATTGGAGGTTCCAATGACCCCTCTTCAGGTTCCATTAACTTGCTAAAATGGCTCATAGAACTCAAGAAAACCTGTGTACTCACAGGACTGTTGATTTATTACAAAGGACATTATAAGATATGAACCAATGGTAGGATGAAGAGATATATACTGCAAGATCCCGATAGAAGGAGCATCTGTCCTCGAGCGTGGGGCCCTGCATGGTTGCAGCTGGTAGTGTTCTGGTTCCCACTCTATCAGAAAAAAGAGGCCAAGGTGCTGTCCTGGGTTTTTACGGCTGCTTCATTACAAGCCATTGGCGACTGATTCAACATCCAGCCCTGCTCTCCTCGCGGACCTCCAGGTTAGGAGCCGTAGGACTGAAAGTTCCAAACCTCTAACTGTGTGGTTGGTTCTCCTG